AACAATAATGACCCGACGGTGATATACGAAGACAATGCAGCATGTGTCGCTCAAACAAAAGAAGGATACATTAAGAGTGATAGAACTAAACATATCCCGCCAAAGTTCTTCCCATATGCGCAAGAGCTTGAAAGAAACAAACAAATCAAAGTTCAATACATTCGATCAAGCGATAATGCAGCTGATTTGTTTACGAAGGCGCTCCCGACGACAATGTTTCGAAAGCACGTACACAACATTGGAATGAGACATCTTCGAGATTTGTACAGATGATAACTCGAGGGGGAGCATGTGCGGCTGTACTCTTTTTCCCTTATCTCGGTTTTTTTCCCACACGGTTTTTCCAGATAAGGTTTTTAACGAGGCAGCATAAACGCACAGTTAATAGTGGTAATTCCAAGGGGGGGTGTTATAAACAAGTGGTGTAATTTACCACTATTAAAAAATTATTATTTTGAATCTAAAGATTATTATATTAATATGTATGTTGGGATGTGTGCCCATTTTCAGCTATAAAAGGGCAAGTGTTATAATGCAAATTTGGTACCGAAGAGTGAAGAAATAAAGCAGCTTATAATTTGTTCCGGTTTTAATACATTGTGTTCTTTATATTCCCCGTATTTTATAACACATGCTATGTTTTTCTGTCTCTTAACTAATGATATGCATGAATTAAGGGCATCAGTCACCTTTTATAAGGAATTAATATATTAGACATATATGCAAATATTTATCTTTATATTTATGTAATACAACTTATCGTTAGTACTGAGCATGGGACTTGTTATCATCCGGATCGGTAAACCTACGTTAAGAGATTCCAAACGTCTCATTAAGAAGAAGATGATCATTGAACCGACGTGATTTGCTCCACCCCGGCTCAGACGACGAACCGGACCGAACTACCGAAGACCGAAGTGGTCAGCATCTACCGAGGTCAACATAAACCGAGATCGTCACCTCCTTAAGCAGGTGACAAGGTGCCAACGTACAACCATCCTACTCCACAAGATCCGTCATCATTTATGTGGGACCCCCTGCCTCAAAACCGCCCACAAAAAGTCACTTTATTCAAAAAGTAGTGCACAGATCCCAATGTATCAACCCGAAATTACTATAAATAGCGGACCCATGACATTTGTACGGGGATCTCTCTCCGAACTGAAAAAACTTTATTAAGCAACACGCAAAAGCCCATCACGGCTCTTCACCTCGGTTCACCTCGGACCGGGGCCACTATTGAGTTAATCTTAAATGCTTTACGTCCAAATCATTCATAACTCTCATCTTAATAACATATTAGATCGTTGTTAAAAATCACATAACAACAGGACTCGGAGAATTCCGAACCGTTTTCGAACTGAACCGAGATCACTCCCAACTGAAAATAACCGTTGACCGTTTGAAAATAAAATTATTAGTATGATAAAGTATTGACGAATGTTGGATTAAAAAATATAAAAGTTAAAATACAATTAGGTGGCCATTCAACAAAAATTAAAAAATAATTAGAAATCTCCAAATATCCGAACTGAACTGAACCGAACCGAGTTGTTTCTATAGTCCCGAGAACTGAACCGAAAAATAAAAATATCCGAACCGAACCGAATCGATTTTTTTTATACGGTTCCAGAGAATTTTTAGTAATCTCCGAACTTCAGTACGGTTCAGAGATTGACAAATTTACTTATTTTTTATTAATTAATTCAATTTTAGTTTATTAGTTCATGATACTTCTATTTTTAAAGCCATTCTCTTTAACAGTATTTTTTTATTTTCATATCATTGTTCCACTTTTCAAATATATTCATAAAACTGCTCGTTTTCCGGCAACAATGAGAGCATGGTGTTATCGTCCCTCGCCGCATGGAACTCAAGCATCAGACAAGCCGCAAGCCACGGCGACCCTCGAAAGGTCTTTTTCCTCCTCCGCCGAATGAAACAACGACAGACCCCCGACAACTTAACTTTTCCCTTCGTCGCCAAAGCCTGTGCGAAGCTAGCAGACCTCAAGCTCTCGCAAATGGTCCACGGCCACGTGGCGAAAACCCCACACAGTTCCGACATATACGTGCAGACGGCAATGGTCGACATGTACGTGAAATGCGGCCATTTGGAATGCGCACACCAACTGTTTGATGAAATGCCCGTGACGGACTTAGCCTCTTGGAACGTTATTATCTCGGGTTTCGCTCGAGATGGATATTTGGACAGGGTCTACTTGTTATTTAGGAGGATGAGGCTCGATGATGGTGTTGTGCCCGATTCGGTTACAGTCATGGGTTTGACCCGATTGGCGTCAGGGATGAAAAATGCCATGTTGTTGCACGCTGTTCATTGTTTCGGGTTGAAATCCGGGTTTGAAAAGGATGTTTCGGTCGCTAATACTTTTATATCCGGGTACGCAAAGTGCGGCAAGTTTCGCTTGGCCGAGAGGATTTTTCTCGGCATAGGTTCGGGTTCTCTTAGTGTCGTCTCCTGGAATGCCGTGATCGCGGGTTTCGCGTATTTCGAGGAGTCAGACAAAGCTGTCCAGTTTTACTTGAAAATGCTGAGGGATGGGTACAAACCCGATTTGAGTACGGTTCTTAATTTGCTCTCGTCCTTTGCCCGTCCCGAATTTTTATCCCACGGTGTGGCTGTTCACACGCATGTAGTGAAATTAGGGTGTGATGCGGACATTCGCGTGCTTAACACGCTTGTCTCCATGTACTCAAAGTGTGGAGATATTCACTCAGCTAGAGTTATATTTGATCTCATGAGCGAGAAATCATGCGTGACGTGGACAGCGATGATCGGTGGGTATTCGGAGAAGGGCGATTTGGACGAAGCTCTCTCGTTATTCCGTACCATGGAAGCTTCCGGGGAAAAACCAGATATGGTTACCGTTATCCATCTTATTGCCGCT